ATACATAAACAATAATTTGAATGTTTCTTTAAATACTTAATACATAACATCCACTTATAAAGTGAATATTTGCTTAAGCCAATTAAAATCATTCATTTAAAACAATTTCTTTAATTGTATGAAAACGAGTTGTTGACATAGTAACAAAAATTTTAATCAAATAGTTTCTTATGGAATTATTTATTTATTTTTTTTTTTAATTATTGCAAATTGCCTTTATATGTGGATGCTTTAGCAATTATTTTATCTACTATATTTATTCAGGCAGACGCAGATCTAGAAACTGCCAATAGAAGGAGCCCAATGAAAAATAATATGACGTACACTAGGTGAATTGATAAACACCCGGCCTAAGCAATAAGAACATTTTTTTATGCTTCAATGTAGTCCTTTTTTAGTTCGACACAACGAGTCCAACGATCTTTCAACATTTGGATACCTCTTAAATAATACGATTTATCAAGTCCTCCAAAGTATGCCTCAGTTTCCCATTCGACTTCATCATTTCATGTAAATCTCTTCCTCTGGAACCACCTTTTCAAGTTTGGAAGCAGGTAATAGTCACTGCGAGCCAAATCCAAAGAATACTGTGGGTGAGGAAGCAATTCGTACCGTAATTCATTTAATTTTGCCATGGTTTTCAGTGACGTGTAAGCGGTGCGTTAGTCTACAAAAACAAAATTTTTTTTTCGACAAATGTGGTCATTATTTCTTGATTTCCTCATTCAGTCGATCTAATAATATGCAATAATAGTCTGATTGTAATAGTAATAGTTATTGTTTTTCTTTGTTCCAAATAATCTATAAAAATTATTCCAAATTCCAAAATACAGAAGCCAAAATTATTCCAAATATTTGCAAATAGCTAACCAAACATCTGATGAAGTCGGAACTTTTAAAGCTGTCGTTTAAAACTTGCCAGATATACAACATTTAATTTATTTTGTTCTGGTGTTGCCACTGTTATGAAGTCAGGTAAATTTAATCCACCTAGTATTTTACATATAATAAACATAAGCAATGAATTTTACTGAACATTAAGAATATTGTTATGTTATGGTGGCAGGATCGCCATGTTATGGTTGCACAGGATGTTATGTTATGTTATTATTATGTTATGTTAGGATATGCGTGCAGTAAGTTCACCAATTGATGTCTGAGTCCTGAAAAGATTTAAGGATCGCCTATCGACCAACGTAAGGAAACGACCTATCAGTATAGAGGAAAGTATTGCTAAGCCCTTCACCCGCTTATTGTCCTTTCAGCATCTAAATGCCGCATAGAACACGATTCAAATAAAAAACGTAACCTTGTCTTAAGTTAAATTGAATCTGTCTGTATTGTAAAAATCATGGGTATTTATACTTATTCTAGCTTATTTACTAAACAATTATTATTTGCTTCTATTTAATTTAAGTAACCAATCAATGCATTGGTTACTCCCATAAATTATATTACTTTTACAATTATATATATTTTACAAATAAATACTCTTCTAACGTATTACAATTATACGTCATGTACTATTTTCTAAAAGTTAAATGTACCTTCTGGAATTCAAGTTGGAATAGTGCAACGACCATACATGCTTATCATGTCTTATGTTACAAATGCATATTTGTAACGGCATGAGTCAAAATATTTATTTTAAGTAATATGATCAAAGTCAAAGCGTCAAACCGACAAACCGACAAAAGTGCATATTATAATATAACTCATTTAATTTGTCTGAATAAACAGTGGCTTGTCACATACACATAGTAGAAAAAGTCTACGGATATTCACAAAATTTTTCTAAAATTACGCATAACTTTTTTAATTTTTACTCAAATTCATTTTTATTTCCTGATTTATTTTAACCAAAGAAACAACAATAAAGTTGCAATATTAAAACTAAACAGTTATTCTTTAAAAAAAAATTAAACACAATTATATGCGAAAGTAGCAATTTTTGAAGCAGAAAAAGTCTACGGATATTTCTTGATATTTACATTTACCGCTAATTTAAATTCGCTTGCAAGCATAAAAGTGTCATTAAATGATATTTAATTATTAGTTGACCTCCTAAAGAGTCTAAAAATCAATAATTTAATAATATTTTTTTATATAAGCAATAAATTTTTACAATATAAAATAAAAGACGTGAAATTAGTTTTAGTGCGCGACAAATAACTGTTAAATTTTAGAAAGATGACGTAAGCCAAAGAAAATTTGCTGAAGATATTGGTCGTCAATATTCATCTGTGCAGAGAATTACAAATAACTTCAAAGAGACCAGTACTTACGTTTCTAAACCTCGCACTCGCCGCCCCACAATTTTGTCAAATAGAGAAAGACGTAGCATAATCAACCAGGTGAAAGTAAATCCAAGAGTAACAGCCTTCAAACTAGCTGAACATATTGCCGAAATACTTGAAAACAAAATATATCCTGATACTGTGCGGAAAATTTTGAAGAAATGCATGTATTATACCCTGATTGCAGGAAAGAAGCCATACATATCCAGATATAATAGAATAAAATGATTAAGCCGTGCAAGAAAGCGTATAAATAAACCTATAAAGTTCTGAATATGAGTTATTTTCTCCGATGGGAGTCAATTTTAAATATTTGGAATCAAAGTTAGAAAACTTGTATGGAGAAAATTATGCACAACCTGTGATAAACCGTAAACAGTAAAACGTGTTGGTGACGGCGTAATGATTTAGGGGTGTATAGCAAGTAATGGTGCGGTTAGACTTGAATTTGTACAAGATACAATGGAGAAATATGGTTTTCTAAATATTCTAAAAACAAATTTGAAAGAAAATGTCAGAATGTTAGGACTTGAGGCAACCTTTTTGTTTCAGCAGGGCAATGACTCTAAGCATACAGCAGTCATAGTACGGATTTGGATGCTGTACTATGCTCTCAGGCAACTTCAAACACTACCAGAATCACCAAACCTTAGTTCTATAGAACATCTGTGGGTTTATTTGGAAAATAAGATTCGCCAGCATATGTTTTCCAGCAAGGATATAGCAAGAAACGTCATCAAAGAAGAATGGCTAGAAATAAACGCACAGGATACATCAAAGCTAGTTGAGTCAATGGAAAGACGCTTAACAAAGGTTATTAAATGCATGGGTTATCCCACAGGCTATTAAATTTAAGATTTTTGTGAATTTTATTGTTTTAATGTAAATATTAAGAAATATCCGTAGACTTTTTCTGCTTCAAAAATTGCTACTTTCGCATATAATTGTGTTTAATTTTTTTTTTAAAGAATAACTGTTTAGTTTTAATATTGCAACTTTATTGTTGTTTCTTTGGTTAAAATAAATCAGGAAATAAAAATGAATTTGAGTAAAAATTAAAAAAGTTATGCGTAATTTTAGAAAAATTTTGTGAATATCCGTAGACTTTTTCTACTATGTGTATATCATTGATGTAGATCATGGGCACTACAATATATAGTATTACTATAATTCTTTAAAGGTTGAAATATGATAATTTTGTGAGTTTATTTATTTACTCAAAATGCCAGAAATAGTAAACAATAGTAGACGAAATAAAAGAGGAGCCCTAGACTTAAATGCTCTATGGTACATTAATTGAAAGGACTTGTTTAGATCAAGAAAATTAATATTTAGTATTCATTGTCTCATTTATTCAATAATTTGTGCCTTCCTCAATTTTGTTTCGCTCTCATCTGCTGTGATTTCATATTTACACACTTTTTAATCCCTTCTCTATGACTAACGAAAGTATCGTTATGGATATCCATTACAATTAATCCAATCAATTTTTCATTTGCTTGGGTTGCCCTGGTGCTTTTGGAACTGGAATAGGTTGTTTCAGTTGTAGTCATAGAAGACGAAAAAAACATTATGTACATGTATGTTAATTGTAACCATTAATATGATATCCTTAAGGGGTGATCCCGGACTTTTTAGACCTTGATCTATTATTAAAATTAAAAAAAAAGTTTTCACTTTGTCAAAGCCCAAACACCGATCTGCAGAAACATACAGAAATAATTACCTAAGTTTTTTCAGGTTAGGTAAGTAAGTTTTATATATGTATTTACTGAAATGAATGGAATTACTAAAATTTTTAGCAATGTTGTTTGGTTATATAATAAAATAAGAAAACTTTATAGATTTTTATATATAAATCGTAATCGTTCAGTTACGTAGCAATTAAAATGTAATCAAAATATGTTAATCAATAAAAAAAACAGTTATAATTATTTAATTTTAATTTGAATGTTAGCTGCAGAGTACAGTCATTAAATTGCATTTCGTTCGAATATTATTTAAACTCTGCTTCCTAACACGATGTTCGCAAAATTATAATTGCCAATTTCATCAATTAAAAAGCTAGTACTTGTTAAAAAAAGTTAAACCAAAAACCATTTGGACATCACTGAATAGGATAGATATGTCGAACTAGTCGAGAATTATACATATACTATAAGTTCCCAATGTTTGCTTTACCACATTACACAGATCGCAGTTGAGTTAATAGCATTGTTCAATATCCTGTTCATAGCATATGTACTACTTGCAAGAATATATAAAAAGTCAAAAGACTTAGGTTCTTTACGCACATGAACTGTCATTTGAAAGAAAGAACAAACAAAATATTAGAAACAATATATGTTTTTTTATTATTGATAAAAAAATTTTGAATAAATTACAGTTCCAAAATGTGTTTCCTATGAAGGAAAACTAAACAAAAAAGGATGAAGGCTTAGCATGTCTTTATAGACAGGTTTATGTCTGCCCAACTGAATAAACTGAATAAATTGACTCAGAGAAATTAATAAATATACGACATTGGGTGGAGTATAGCTGACATCTTTAAAACTTAG